GGGAAATAAAAAGATAATACAATACTAGGAAAATTGTGGAGCAGAAAGAAATTGACTTCTGCAAAACCTGAAGTTTTACAATAGCTATTTGCTAAGTATAAAGCCATAATCACCATCTGCTCCTATTCAGGAATGCTGCTGGTCACATAACACCAGGGTAAAACATGCCTTTATTTCAATTATACTAGAACTAACTTGCAGTGTATGAGAATATTATTTCCAATTTCTTCAACCCTTTTCCTTATAAATTGCTTAGTATATAAGAATAATAAAGTATATACCTTGTTCCGGTGCCATCACTTCTGCCATGGTAAACACAAGTGCATTGTGAAGGACAAAACCCATGCATTTCTTCAAAAAAGCTCATTAGGAGGTAGAAGTAAATAAGCAGATACATGGCTTCCTCCCAGCAGAACTGACATGAAAAAATTTGAAAACTTTATTCCTAGGCACTCGTGTGCAGTGTGCTACAAACATGAATGTAGACATCCATTTAGTAACAGGAGATTACACCAGATTAGCTGAGATCTGTAGTAGCTTAACCTTCAGATGTATCCTGAAAGGGATCAGTTAAACCAGCTCACTCTTTATTCTGTCAGAAGAATGCTGTTTCAAATCATATCCACCGTGTTTCAAGGCTATTTTAATATGTGGCTTGTAGGGTTAGTATGGAAAAAATAATTATTTTCTCCTTCTAAGAGGCAACGCATTAGTTACTGTCCATAAAGTGTTTCAAGCCTCCTGAAGGAAATCTAGCATAGCATAAAGATATTGCAAGGCATTTTCTTTAATATTGAAAACTACAAATTAATAGGAAGTCGAGATTCCAGAGCTTTAAAAAAAACCCTGTAAGAACAGGTTTTTACCAAAAACCACATATATTTAAAATAAGTTACACACTATAAAACCAAACTTCAGATGCATGCATACATAATAAGAGAAGATATTTATTCTCAAAGTCTGAGAATCATCAGGAGTGCTTATACTACCATTCCTAAATAGATCCATGCAGAGTCATGTTGTCCATCCTGAATAAATTCATTGCTCACATCACCAAAGTTATTTTTTGAAAATTACACAACAGACCTAAATAACCATTAAGATTGACATAGAAAGTATGAGAAATTATTATAAATATATACTTAGTTTTATGTTCCCCTCAAGCGTCAAGTTTTAAGGTGCATTCTGTCTCATTTCCAGGATTTGCTGGACAGTCACAAGCACTAGAAACGTACTACACTACTAAAATAAAAGCTGAATTTTCTACAAACTCATTTGGTTGCGTGAGTCAAAACTTTAAAAATTCATTAAATATCCTAAACTCGTTCAAAATCCTAAAAGCTGATAACAGGTTTGGTAGGGTTTGCCTAGATATTTTGGTATCTTAACATATTCACAGAAACAGAATTTCACAAAGCATATCAGCATGGACACTAGGTTTAGAAATATATTCACACAGGGAGAATTCAGAATATTTCAAGTCCGGAAAACTTTCAAGGGAAGTTGAGGGAAAGCAATTCATGAAAGGAATTACAGGCACAAAATCTATGTTACTGAATCTACGCAGTTCCTGCTCCAGTCTCTCACTGCCCCTGTGTCACCTTGTCCAACCATGTAAGAGTCAGAGTGATCAGGTTGCTAGCCTTTTTTGTTAGGGACAGACCTACTGGACCAATAAACACCACTCTCAAAAACTGTCTTAGTATTTTTTGTCTTTTTGTCTTCTTAATATATCTAAAAGGATTATTGTGAGTAACAGAAAACAGCTGGCTGGCCAGGGTAGATTATTATTCCAAAAGATAAACCTTCCAGAAGACTAATTGACTTCAACTCAGATTTCACTCCTTTCCATGTAACTTCTGCAGGCAAATGACATGAGTTCTATGATGTCAGTGCACTTTGAGATACACTCATGGGCATGGCATTGTTTATCGTTATTTCTTGTCTTGTCTGACATCGCACCATTGCCAGGACGGCCCTCCGAAACCTGCAAAGGACAAAAATGGGAAAGCAGGAAGATTGTTAGATGGAGAACCAAATACAAAGAAAAAATGGATAAGCTGGCTTTAAGTATCGCAATGGTTTCATTTTTTGTAAAACATACTTAATAAAAAATGGTATATTTGGACGTGAGTCTTTTCCACTTCCACATGCAGGAATAACTCAGTTCTAATTTCAGTGTTTCTGCCACAATAGGGGTCACAGCAGCTTTGTTTTAATCTAGGATAGGGCATAGCTACAATAAAAATGAACTCAAAGAATGGAGAAAAAAACAACATGGTTTTTAACTGACCATTGATTCAGCAGGGTAACATAAATTCACCTAGACAGAAATCACGGGCTCTGCTTCTAGGTTGGTAGTAGAGAAAGGAAGGATGCCTTGTTACAAAACCTAGTTCTCAGTCAGAGGCACTGGGTTGGTTAGAGCATTTGATATATTTGCTCAAAACACAAGAATAGGCTTAGCTTATTTACTTTAACGAAAAGCCTCAATCCATCCTCATCATCAGTCAGAACATGACACATGCCAAAATAAGCAAGGAAATCTACAGAAGTTACATGTCACTAAGCTGCCACACATTTCGGCCATAGTCATTAAAACTAGTCTCCTGTTGATGCAACCCAGACTCCATGAGTCTCTTTGAGAAATCACAAAGGGACCTTCAAAACTGTCTTACAAAAGCTTCATTAAAATGTGTTCTCAAAAATTTTTATCAACTCAGTATGTTCTGATAATGATCCAAACAATTTCTTTTAGACTTTGCTATCCAAAAGTTCGTCTTTGATAAATCAACAGCAGCTTAGCCTTCGGTCTCTTTACTAATCAGTGTCATATTTTACAGATGATCCTTCTATAGTTAGATGATAGGCTAAAATCATAAGGGAGACTGGTACTAAATTAGGAACACTTACTTTTTGTTTGCAATGACATAAATGCAGGGATTATAGAATGTGGAAGATTTTGCGAATAGAGGAGCTATGATGGCCATTGCAGGAGAAATTTTCTTTGGATCTCCAAAGGAAGACCATAAACACACAACAGAATATGGAGACCATGCCACCAAGAACATTACAATCATCACAACAGACATCTGTAAAACAAGAGGAACAGACACATAACCAGTATTACCTGAAGATGGAGACCTCAAAAACTAAACTCAAAAGCACATGCACTTGTGTGAAAATAGAGCTATTCAGAACCAAATAACAACACATAAACAAGGGCACCTGACAAATTTTGACAGGTTATGATGAAATCTCACTTTGGGGATTTAATAGCATATCACATTGCCATGTATTCTGGCATGCTGATATTTCATTATGTACAATCTCACATCACAGTCAGCACTACTGATTATCTTAAATCTGTCCAATAGACATTTAAATGTCCGGAGAGGACTTCACACGTTAATGATGATCACCATAACAGGTCACTCCAGAATGCTATTACAAGCAAGAAATATGAACAGAGAGAAAAATCTAAGCCAAGAATTTAATAAGGTTGCTAATAAATATAAGGCTTAATTACGGTACAGTTCGAGGACACAAAGGTTCAGTCCATATGCTTAAGGAACCCAGAAGTGTCTATTTGGTTTAATGAAGATGACACCCATGTTCAAACATCATATTGAGGAGATATCTGAGCAGTCATGTCTTCTCTGACTACCTGTTAGAACAAGCTTGGAATGTTGGGGCTCACACCCCAGAAGACACCATGCCTCAGCTAGAACTGAACAGTGTCAGACTGATGGTATTGGGAGGCTAGGAGAGGAATCAACCAGGGCAGACTTTTCTGGCTTTTGTTCAGGAGGTGAATCAGTAATGGAAATCTCAAATTAACAAAGAGGACAAAAGAAATCACTAGAAAACCAAAAAAAACCTGCAAGGCTCTTTGTACCTAGGAGAGATTCTCTAGTGTTGTTTACCTACACCCTTTATTCAGTCTTTCAGTAACGAACAAAATGAGAAACAGGAAGTAAATGGTTTCTTTGTGCAGCTCTTCTAAAGCACGACCAATAAACAAGCAGTGACTCTCCACAAAAGATTCTTATTTAAATACAAATGCACTACCTATTGATCATAATGTAAAGAAAGAATCCTTTTGTTTAGAAGTTTGGTGCTGTAGAAAGCTTAGAAGATGCTAATTTGTGAAAAAGCAAGTAGTCCAGTTATAAAGAAGGATACTACTTAACTCAAAGGCTTCAATCTTTATTTTTTAAATGTAAGTGAGTGTCTTAAAACACAAACCACAAAAAATGCATTTTCTTCAAAACTCTAAGCCTAAATTATAACTGAATCCTCAGGTTTAAGCATTCTGAAAATTCTTTAGAAGCGCAAAATGCTCAGATTATTATTTTTAGGTGAGAATAACATTTTCCAGAATTCAGCAATGAGAAAGCTTTCCAAGGAATGTTAAGCTTGCATTAATAAGTAATCCAAAAGCACAGGTATATACTCTTCTGTTCAATTGTCTCACATCTTCATCATGCCCAACCATGAATCATATCTTTACATAAAATCAAAGCAGCTAGTGAACTTCAAGCTTTCTCAAGGACTTTTATAGATTAAAAGAATGTCAATCTCCCAAGCAGGATATATCATGTTATGCCATAACTCACATTTGTTACTGTTGACATAAGAAAGAGATAAGCTTAACAGACTGAAAAGAATAAGGAATCAGAATCACACAGCTCGGAATGTGTATTCATTTCTAGGCCATGAGTTTGAATCAGAGTTGACCAGCCCATTTGAGACCAGGTACACCTGTAAGCATAGCAGAAAGTTTAAGGACCTTGCAGACACAAAGAGTAAAAGTCCCCTTAGGACACTTCAGAGGTATATTTCTACGTAATGAGAAGGCAGAGGCAAGGAAAATTCATATTGTTCTCAGCCCTCAAAGTAGCTATTTATCTCAAAAGGGTATTAGGTCAAAATTAGAGAATCTAGTATTAGAAGTCAAACCAAGAGTCTTCACTAAGGCTAAATTTCAGTTAATATTTAGTACAAAAGGAAAAGGGGGAATGTAGGAAACAGAAAAGCTTAAAAGGCTGCACTGTTCTTTTGCCTCCAAGACTTTAATACAAAAGCATGTGCTTAAAACAAATCATGTCCTCATTTACCATACCTTTGTCACATCTACTTGGTCAGACCAATCTATGTTGATACTCTCCAGGCAGTTACTGCTAGCATATTGTTTCATTGTCCGGGAAACATTGTAATAACAGTAAAACATGACTGTTAAGGGTACAACAAAATTAACAGCAATTACACTCATTGTGTAGGAAACAAAGGACCTGATAAGACAGAAAAACAAAACACAGTAATTTACAAATAGCCATCCAGGAAAAGTTACTAAAGATTTTGATA